AACAACAACTACAACAACAACAACAAGTACAACAACATCTACAGCAACAACAACTACAACAACAACAACAAGTACAACAACATCTACAGCAACAACAACAAGTACAACAACATCTACAGCAACAACAACTACCGCAACAACAACTACAACTACAACAACATCTACTGCAACTACAACAACTACACCAATACCAATCACAACAACAACTATCGCCACTACAACTACAACAACATCTACAGCAACAACAACTACAACAACAACAACAAGTACAACAACATCTACAGCAACAACAACAAGTACAACAACATCTACAGCAACAACAACTACACCAATACCAATCACAACAACAACAACTAGTACAGCAACAACGTCTAAAACAATAACTACAGCAGCAACAACTACAACAACAAGTACAACAACATTGACACCAATAACAACTACAACTACAACTACACCAATAACAACTACAACAACAACAACAACATCTACAGCACCAACAACTACACCAATAACAACAACTAGTACAGCAACAACAACTACAACGACAAGTGCAACAACATCGACAGCAATAACAACTACACCAATGACAACTACCACAACAACAACTACAACTACAATTACAACTGCAAGCACAACAACAAGTACAACGACATCTACAGCAATAACAACTACAACAACAAGTACAACAACAACAAGCACAGCAACAACAACTACAACAGCAATTATAACAACAACTACAGCAACGACAAGTACAACAACATCGACAGCAATAACAACTACAACAACAACTAGTACAGCAACAACAACTACAACTACAATTACAACTGCAAGTACAACAGCAAGTACAGCAACATCGACAGCAACAACAACTACAACAACAACAAGTACAGCAACAACAACTACAACAAAAAGTACAGCAACATCTACGGTAATAACAACTACAACAACAACAAGTACAACAACATCTAGAACAACAACAAGTACAGCAACAACAACTACAACAACAAGTACAACATCTACACCAATAACAACTACAACAATATCATCATCTACAAATATCCCATCTAGAAGCAATATTGATTGGCGGACAATTGCTATTTGTTTCATTATCTTAGGCTCTGTCTTTTTTCTAACAACAATCGTATTTATTATTGTTACTGTGATAAAATATGCACGAAGCTGAATATTGGAAACTGTTACTGGTATAAAAGCGACCAGATGATAGAATGAGATTAAAAGGTTATACTTTATCAAGTTATGAATATTATTACTGTACTCGAAATAGAATGCTCCAATTCGCCAAATTAGAGAGTATGCTGTATGTGTATATTTACGATCAAAGAGATCCGTGACTAAAAATTGTCCGTCTCAATTTTTTTTGTCTTTTAACGTCGAAAGTGTTCATACATTGTTATATAACTCTAGTATCTCTTAACAACCAAAGTATTTCTGTTTAATATGTGGTATTTTTAATAAATGGCAGAGAAATTGGTCTCATGTACAATGAATAATATCCTCTAGTCAGTGGATCATCGAATTTGCATCAGCAAGAACAAACAAACTTAATGTTTTTCTCACAAATCTAAGTAAAACCGTATTAATAATCTGTTCATTATTGCTGTAAACGTGAATCAGAATGAGTAAATACTTAAAAAATTACTAAAGTAAAAAAATGTACAGTAATAATTTCATATGTTTTTATATCAATAAAATAACAGATTAAACGGTGCAAATAAAATATGAATATACAGTCAATAAAAAATGAATAACTCGTCTGACAATTTCTTAAAAATTTACCTACTTGATCTTGTCGACAACAACGATCTACATGCATAAACACTGATTAATTTCGAGGTTGACTATTTTGTACAAAAGATTTTTCTTCTTTAACTAATGAATAAGTATATATTACATTACAAATTTTGTATCCTTATATGATTTTCAAAAAAAATTATTCATTCGTTCTCTTTCTCAAAATTTTGCCTCTCAGATATCAATACCTAAAACCTATATATATATATATATATACATTCATGTAAGCCAGAGTTTATTGTTACATTTTTATATTTTTTGAGGCTTTATCAATAACTACTGACATATAATATGAAAACGATATTTTCTATAGTAGTTAGTTTATTACTAGTAACAATAGTTCAAGCACTTTTCATTGATTGTAAGTATAGACTGGAAAATAAGATACGATGTTTCGTGTTATCGTTTCGTTTCGAAACATTGTTATTGAAAGACTAAACATTCGACTTTATTTTTAGCTACATCAAAATGTCCCATCAAACAATATAAGAGTGGAAAATATATCACCGGTAATAATTTGCTTATTAATGAAAACTTATTTGACCGACTGAAAAGCTTGGAAAGTTTGGCGAAAGACTGTCAAGTTCACGTAAATGTCAAAGGTAGTTATTACCAGTTGGCGTATCCTTCACAACAGGTAACCTCTAGTGATGTCGATTTGGTTGCTGGTCATGGTTTTAAATTTGAACTACTCGATACTGACGACAGAATGTTGTGTAATAGTATTTGTCTTGGAAAAAGTATGTATTAATTTTTCATCGTTCGAATTGCAAGCATCTATACAATAATGAATTTGTGTTATTTTGTAGGTCCAAAGGATTTTTCCGAGGTCAGATGTTTTTTGAACGGAGCTGCCAGTCGTGGTTGGGTATGGGGCTCATCTTCATATCCCACTGTTTTGAGCGATGGATTCTACGCTTCGAGTCTCCTCAACTACAACGTAGCTAAAATTCGAGTTCAAACTGATTGTCAAAATTCAAAACTTAAACGACAGTTATTAAGAGCATTAAGAAAATTGGATGAAGAAGAACAAGAATCCGATGAAAAAAAATAGAATGAAATATTCATCAATAAACTAATAATAATATAATACAACATAATTATAATATAATACACTTTTCCTAACCTACTTTTATATAACCTACTTTTTATATGTTCAGTAACTCCAGTATCTTTTTTTGAATGAACGTATTTTATACTCTGAATTTGTTGCGAGTTAGAGGTTTAATAAAACAACATATCCCAAAAACTCGTGCGGACAATTGTCCATGTGAAATTATCCTATGATACGATCCCATCAGATTCTTACAAGGATCTTATTGCAGTAGTACATTATTTTCTTCTCTTTCTGCAATCTTTTAACCGCACCGGTCGACGTTCTTGTTGGTATTCTTGCAAGATTCTTGTTGCTTAGCATTTCAGACATAACAAGAATATTGTAAAATATTTACATGTATTTTTATCATAAGAATCTTGCAGGAAATCGTTTTCTTGTGAATTCGGACAAGAATTCGTCTCGCGATTCTATACAAATAAAAGAAAATCAAGTGTTATATGGAGCAATTTTCATAATTATTTTATTGGAAATAGGCGACAGAAAGAATAATATAAATGATACTGATAATAGGAATCTAGAACATCAGGAGATACATGTAAAATACTGTACAAGATTCTTGTCTAAAATGACAAGAGACAAAAATCTTGCAAGAATACCCAGAAGAATGTCAACCAGTACGTCAGTGCCTTGTAGATTTAGAGTAGGGTGGGATAATTAGAATAGTATTTTTTAAATCTCTGTATTTTTGTTCTCTCTCAGTTAGCTTAAGACATCTTTTGGTAGTCCCTTGGCAAGAGTTGTAGGGGAGATATTTTTCTGTCGAATGGTCGTTTTCGTTTTTATAAATCCAATTTCCTTCAGGATCAGGAACAGATCTGCGGTTGACCGGTCTCGACTGTTCTAATTCCTCGCATATAGGGAATTAGAGCAGCACGTGTAAAGTCCGTGCAAAACACACAGAATTTGCCTATAAAAGTGTTTCTCATTTTTTATTCGTATTTTAGTAAGATATAATTAGACGTTTCCTGAGTATAAATTATGCATAATTGTCTCCACTATCGATCACGATCACTACCAAAAGTGAACACAATTTGACATGCAATGAGAAAGCATAAAGCCTGACTGTGAGACACTAGTAATATATGTACATTTAATTGGAACTAAATTATGTTTCAATTATGTTTAAATTGAAAAATGTTGACTATTTTCAATGATTTCGACCCTTTCGAGCGTTTTCAGTCGAATATACCCGATAGAATCTATTCGAAAGCAAGCAATACTTTAGCACCAACAGTATGACTGTAAAATCAGGATTTCTCATTAACCATCCAATATTAAGCCTAATGCAATACATCATTCGTTGCATCTTGAAAAGCTCTACAACAGGTGTAATCGGAAACTGAACGAAGCCTGGCAGCAGGCTTTATGAATTTAACACTAGCCCATAGGTCGTGGGTATGCCAATGGAACTCTAGTTCAGTTTTTTCTATGAAACTGGAGAGGATCACTAATCATTCATACATCATTCGATGGGCCTCGAAAAGCTCACAACATGTGTTAATCGAAAACTGAACGAAGCTTAGCAGCGTTTTGGGGTATTAAATACTATTTTGTTAATGCGTAATTTAATAACTTTTTACACAAGCCAGCGGTCCCAAATAATTCAGATGCTTAGTTGAAGCTTTTTCAATGTAGATTGTAGTCACGCTGAATCTTTATGTCTATGAGGGCTATCTTTTGAGTGCTTTGAAGTTGGATTCCGATCAACTCTGATGAAAATGTTCGTGAAGTCAGGATATTTTTGGTTCGAATTCACTACTTTTAGATCCGGTACGTCAGAACTAGAACTGACGATGGCTAGCCTCATACACATGAAGACTTAACGTGACTACAACCTACATTGAAAAACTTCAACTAAGCATCTGAGCGGTTTGGGGCCGCTGTGTGAAAAGTTATTAAAAAAAGAAATGCATTCACCCTCTAGAAACAAACTTCAAAAAAAGCCTGCAAACTGTCGTTACCGACTACTCTTTTATGAATCTTACTAGCAGATATTCTAAACGGTATGATCCTCCATTTATGTCGAAACTAAACTTTGTGACCGAAAATTAATTTTCCAGAGTTGAGAGGAGTCGCCTTAAATAAGTTCTTTTTAATCCTACTGTTGATATCTAAAAGAGAAAGCAAAAGTTACGAGTAGGCATCCCTGTCTCCGGGTTCGTACTATCCATTTTCAAAAAACAGGAACAGGACAGGATTTTTCTCCTTCGAAAAACAGGGAAGTTAATAATTTTTTTTCAGAAATACAGGAAATAAACGAATGCAGAAAAATGACAAGTGAGATGTATCACAGTGTGTTAAATAATGTATTGCTAGGCATAAACTAAAAATTCACTTCACGTTATTTAAAAAGTTTTATACGGCATTCAAACATAGTCATAGATAATCGGAGCTGATATCTCTTTTTATTTATCCGTCCAGTATTATTATTGTTGTTTTCTTTCATATTCCTCTTTTCCTATACGTACAACAACTAGAAATGGGGGGGAACCAGCCTTTTTTGGGTCCGTAGATAATTGTTTCGTTCTAGATTCCTATTATCAGTATCATTTATATTATTCTTTCTGTCGTCTATTTCCAGTAAAATAATTATGAAAATTGCTCCATATAACACTTGATTTTCTTTTATTTGTATAGAATCGCGAGACGAATTCTTGTCCGAATTCACAAGAAAACGATTTCCTGCAAGATTCTTATGATAAAAATAC